GTACTCTGCACCATGGAAATGGGGGCTCCCACCTTCCCCGGTCCCAGGGGAGGTGGGAGGCCCAAGGGAGGGGTCGGGTCCTGTCCCCTGGACTGTGACATGGCGGGTTGGATCCTGCCCCCGGGGGGGGGGGAGGAGAGAGAGAGTACTTGTGCAGCGGTGGCTGCAGTGCCATGGGGCTGGGCCGGCTCCCCTCTATGGTCCATTGGCTCTTTCCACAGCATGCCAAGCAATGCCCCACCCTGCCCCCTTCCTGTCCATGGCATGGCTTGATGGCTGGCCCCGCCCTGGGCTGTGGGGTGGGGTGTTAATTGGGGCTGGCTGAGGGAAGTTTTGGGTGGGTGGGTTGCTTTTGTATTTTTTTTCCCAATGGCCTCCCTGAGCTGGGGGCCCTGTGCCAGTGCACTGAGTGCACGTTGGTGAGTTTGGGCCTGGACACCCCCCTCCCCCCCCGCCTTCTGGGGGTTGGGGTTATACAGTATCCTGGGGCTGCTGGTAAACGTGCCCCAGGCCACACTGAGTGCGCATGGCTGAGTCACTCGGAGCATCACGGAGGTGCCAGAGAGCTGGGTTCATTTTTTTTCTGGGTTGCTTTGTAATTCTGCAGCTGCTTCTGTATGTCCTGGCCCGCGGCCAGGAAGTGCCCAAACACCAAGGCAAAGGCCCATCTGGGGGTACCTCTGTGTGATCTGCCTCGAGGCAGAAAGAACCTGATACCTTGCTAGACAAAATGATCTCACAAGATCTACAGCCCAAGTCCTAGACCCAAGAGAATCAGGAGTCTGGAAATGAACCTGAACAAGATTCGTGAGAAGAATGGGCTGGTGGCTAAGGCACTAAACTGGGACCCAGGAGACTCTAGTTCAGTTTCCAGCTCTCCCACAAACGCCGTGTAACACATTGGGTGAGTTGCTCTGTACCTCAATTTCCCCATATGTAAAATGGGGATGATAATCATCCTTCCTTTTTCTGTTTAGACTGTAAGTTTTTGGGGGACTGTCTCTCTGTGTGTGACATACAGCACCTAGCCTAATGGGCCCCGATCTCAGCTGTGGCCTCTAGGTGCTACTGGATTATTATTAATAATAATCATACCTAACCTAGACGCTCAGTCCTCGGTCACAGAGTATCCTTCTGTTATAGATTTTTGGTGCATTCTTTGCACAGCTTTTTCTCTGCATTCACAGATCTATTCCTTTAAGTTGACCTGCCGCGGCCTGAACAAAATATATCTAATGAGACGGCAGAGGAGAGGAATTGATTCTCATCTGCAAAGCCAGATCTTCACGACTCGTTCCCTGCCTCGGCCCCTTTCATGCATGTCTGAAGCAGGATAAAATCCCGCTGACACAAATTCACAACCGGCTTTGCCTTAGCGGTAGCTTACGAGGCAGGGGCATTTTCTTAAGGGGGACCTTGGGTCTTTGTCTCTCCTTCAAATTGCTGAAGAAGAAATCCTGAGAAATGTAGTATTTCCCCTGAGTCCCCAGCCCCTCCATGCCAGTCCCAATGTCGCTGAAAGAATAGGATATAGTGGTGCTGGATGTACAGGTATTGGTACATAGAACAATAGCATTTATAGTAATACCAGTGTATAGGCAGGATGGGATGTCTAGGATGCATCCAGAGAATTAGAGGTGTTGGATGAATATGGAAAGATGGATGGGTATTGTTCAGCTGAACAATAGGATGAGCAAGACATTGTGGGGGGGATGGTCTTACAATAGGTTTCTTCCTTCTCCTATGTGCAAGATCCTATATTGATAGAAGGCTGGGGTTAGAGCATGCCGGTAGATTAGGCTGCAGTGAATGGATAAGCCTCTGGAAGGGATGTCTAGTGGCAAGGCAGAGCGAACAATGGAGGGGTAGGAGAAGGTGGACGGAATGTATAAGGTTGCAAAGAGGTTGTGTAGGCATCAGACTAGGGCCGGGCAGAAGGAACAAGGGGACATAAAGAGAATGTATAGAAACAGGCTGGCCAGGCAAAATAGGCGGCGACTAGCCGGATATGGAGAAGGCGCCAATAAATTACTGAACGCAAGGCGGTATAACATCCGACGACAATAAGACGCGCATATGGAGAGAACTGTTTCCCTTTGGCTACCAAAACAATTCCGGACAGATCCGTCTGTACGTGCGTCTATAGGTGCGTCTATAGGTATGCCGCTGCCCCTGCCCGCATGAAGAGCTCCATAACCACCATTTGCCACTTGAAGCCAGATCAGAGCCCCCCCCTGCATCAGCCCCTTCCCAGAAAATCCCACCAGGTCCCCCCCCTGTTCCCACCCCGCTTTCCAAATTTTCCATCTAGTCATTGAAAC